CTTTTTCTCACACACAGAAAAAGGGATAGAAAGGAACGTGGGAATGAAGAGAAAAATAGAACTGAGAAGAATGGTTTCCAAAACCTAAATGAATATCTGTGCAATTATACGGCCACATGACGAGAGAACCAAGTCTAGAACATAGCTCACACGACTGAATTCCTAGCTCTGTCACAGAAAAACCATCAATGTGCCTCCAAATTATTAACATACTACTGTGCCTATTGGCATTTGTTGGATTCAATGGTTTTCAATTCCTCTTCAGCATTGATGTTTGGAATTTTCCAGGGGGTGTGGAAATGCGCTGGATTGACACTTATTTTCCCTTCACCAACCCATCATTTGAATTGGAGATATATTTTCAGGTATTATTCTGGATTACAGCCATTCATTAAGATTATTGTACTTTCTACTGCAATTGGCACTTGGTAAATTTAATGTTTCTTCTTGGAGGCTTATGAAGTCATATGCTAAAAGTGATACTATTATTTGTTACAGAATTGCAAATAAAGTCATTTTGGACCTGGTCTATTGCATAAGCAAACTAATGTGCACTGCTAAAATAGGCTGAAATTTCTAACAAGTGTGAAGTCATTTCAATTGCCCCAAATAATTGAATTATTGGTGTATGGAGGTCTGCCATCATCTATTTTTCCATTTTGGTTTGTCCAGTTCTGAATACTATTAATGCTTGACATCAACTTGAATATGTTCTAAAATTGTATGATAGTGTAATAATAATTATAAGAAATAGTTAAGAGTTGAGCTCATTCAAGTATATGGTGTTTAGAGAAGCTACTTAGAAGTTGGAAGATAGACGAGTGACTGTTCAAAGAAGACAATGACTGAGGTTTTAGGAAGAACTGAAGGAGGAGGGCCCAATGCTAAGGAGCTATAGTAGTACAGCAACAATGTTCTTGGTGTAATCAAGACACTGAGCTTGTATCCAGACATAACAGAAGACTGGGTGTCAATAATCTTGAAAACTATATTACATATCAGCAAGAGAAAGCTAAAAAGTCAGTCTAAGAGGCAATGTTAAGAGCATATGACAAGTTCTATAACTGTGTAGACATTAAAGGAGAGAAAAAGTGCATAGGATAGCTACAATAGTGGGATGGAAAATGAAATGAGACTTTTTATGTGTCAAGCGCATTAAGGACAAGGACCGAGAGTTTTGATAAATGATGAAGATATACAAAAGAGGTAAAGATGCTATTTTGGAAGATTGTTGCATTAACATTAGGTCACAATTATTGGATAGGAGAACCTATTAGGCACCTGTCAGTAATTCTATTGAATTTCGGAAGTAGTTTTTGGGGAAGTTAGCATATCTTGTTTGGCAATGTTATTTAACAAAATCAGTACAACTGAAAAGATGGTGCGCAAGTAGGGAATGGATGTCAATATCCATTTATAGAAATAAAAGAGCTGTTTATAATTATGCTAACCAATAAGGAAATAGGTTAATGAGTCACACAATGATACTTTTTGGAGAGATTGAAAAAGGAACAGTTCAGAGATTCATTTCGGATTTATGCCAAAGAGAATAAACCATGGAAGCTATACCTTAATCGTAGAGCAATATTTTACCATTAAACAAAAAACTACACAGTATGAAGTTCTTGGTTTAATTTTGAGATGACTATTCACTGCTTCATCTTAAATTTTCTTTGATGAGATGGATAGGGACGAACTGGTATTGCACTATTTCTTAATTTTTTTGGTAAAAGATTTACCTATGTGTTTATAATGTAGAGGTAGGTGTTCGAATGCGGAAGCGGAATTATTTAAAAAAAAAAAAAAACTTCATTAATTTAATAAACAAGATCGTTTAGATGTTCACGTGTGTGTTATATCAAAAATAAAGGATTCGAATTTTTACCCAAATTCGATGGTCAATTCTTGAATTAATTTTGAATCATGAATTTCTAGCTTTTTGGATCACGAACTTCTAGTTTTTTAATTCCAAGAATTTGATGCTTCAAACATCCAAACCTTTTATGGTATTCTCCAAAGCTAAAACTACACCCGTGGTTGGCACCTTCTTTTAATTAAACTAAAAAATAACTCTTGAACTAGACAATTGAATAAAGCAAGAAAAATAATTTTCTCTCTCCAAATTTGAATACTATGGAATTATGTATTATGATTATTGTACAATCTCATAGGATGACTAGTTTCCAGTTAATCTCTATTTATAGAGATGGAACAGTAACAATCCTTATACAATAATAATTTTACATTCAAATAAGAGTTCCAACTAAAATCCAAGTAGGAATTTTAATTAAAGTTCAAATCCAATTAGTTTACATTCAATTACAAGTTTAGTTTTAGAACTTCAATTACAATTATAATTAAGTTTACAACTTTTATAATAATTACAACTAAGTACAAAATTTTATTATAATTACAATTAAGCTCAAAACTATTATAATTATTGTAATTAAGTTCTAATACTTTATGGAGCTACCATAGAGACCTGATCGTACATATATTATTCAAGTTTCAATTATTAGATCCTATCTAGTCGACCCTTGACCACCCAATATAATTATTGGTCTCTGCTTTTTCCACTAAAGGTAAAAGACTGAACTTGTGGAATATATAAGATCACAGAAGTCAATAAATCTATAATACTTTTCTCTGACCTGTCGTATATGTATTTTATCTCCGTCCGATATCCGATAATTAGGTACGAGTGTAAATGGCCGTTTTCTTGCTAATTATTCTCACTAACTTAAATATCATTTTCTTCAACGGTCCTATAACCTAATAACAAATATCGAAATTTAGCCATCACTAAATACTGAGCTCAGATTTTAACTGTTCAACATAAAATACTTAAGTAGTCACTTTACCCATTTTCAAGGTGACGGTTCTTGACATGAATTCATGTTCTCTACTCGATTCATTCTCAAGTTCACAACTCATCGAATTTGACCAATCAATTTGATCTCACCCATTGATGAAAAAATAAACCATTAAAATCATGAGAAGACATACATAATCTTGTCAAGGGATTTAGATGAAATACACTTCAGTCAAGGAGAATTTAATTTTTCGCACAATCATGCTATAGAATTAAATTCAACACGTGGTTTGTTCAATACACTCCAAGTGTACTAGCTTCACCTTTAATTATTTTTTTGATAAGGACAAATTACAAATTTTTGTGAATCGATCAATACTACAACCTTTTAGTACCAGGTGCCAACCCTTATAAATCGGTTGTGAACAAATTATTTATGATCGAACACTGTACTTCTCAATGCAAGTATCCAACTTATATTATCACGAGTGATCATAGCACTTTAATTCGCATGCTCAATAATAAATAAATAGATCCACAATTTATTTATTATAAATTATTATTTTATCATAGTAAAAAATACTATCTGGGCATACAACAACCCAACAGTAGGTTCAAAATTCAACTTGAAATGGTATGTTCAATAAGAAAAAGGTAAAATTGATCAAAGAAACCTAAATTAAAAACTATATAGACAGTTCTGTTATTCATATTCCAATTGAAATGGTATGTTCAATGGAAAATCACAAGGTTAATTCAAAAGAAAAGGAAACAAATAAAAATTAGATGTACGTTCTTCATTCTGTCAGCAAACCCTGGAAGCCATTATCTTTGAAATTGTCCTGAAACTCCGGAGTTATTTCTGGTCATTAAAGATAACAAATGAACCTGCATTTATTTCCATGTTTATTCGTAACTCAGTGTCACTAGCATCTGGTACTTGGAGTGTGTATGAATCAACACTTTATGAAGGAGCAAAACATTTGATGTTATCTTGTTGCTTGTTTGAACATATATCTTAACTCTTTCTGAGTGATCTTCTGATTTTGTTTTCTTTTTTAGCTTCCTTTCCCTTTATTGTGCATAATCTATGGGAGTGAAAAACAAGAAGGATGTGTATTAAATATTTTCTGGTTGTTGAGTGTTATACTTATGTTTCTGCAAACATGTCCTTGTTTAATGAGTTTTAACTTTGTATTATATTGATTTGGGGCACTTTGCCAGTCATCTTGCCAAATAACAATTTTGTCACATTTGATAAACTATTAACCGGTTGCCAGGACGGCTGGTTGGAAGTTCTAGGTTGTGGAGTGACGGAACAAGAAATATTGAAGAGAAGCGGGAGGGTGGACAACATTGCTTGGGCCTTTGGGCTTGGACTGGAGCGATTAGCAATGGTTTTATTTGATATTCCAGATATTCGCCTTTTCTGGTCGAACGATGAGCGGTTTACTTCTCAAGTATTTTCTTAACGTATTTTCAGTTATTGTTTCCTTGGCTTTATGCATCATATTGTATTCAACAATTTTTCCATTTTCTTAATTTTTGTCTAGTTCTCTAAAGGGCAGCTTGGTATCAAGTTTAAACCATTTTCAAAGGTATGACTTGACGTGTTTCACAAATATGTTTAGGCTTGCATAACTATCTATTCAAAGAATGCAATTGTTTGTGGGAGTTGGACATCACAAGCACACATTTTAATTCTCTATCCCGTTTCTGGCCTAAATATGATGGCTGTACAAATTTCTTTCTATGGAATGTTGTTTTTACACTCCTGTTTCAAATATTTTATTTGTTTCTAGATCTATAGAAGTAGCTCTAGTGACATTTTATATAGAAACTCAAATATTTCTATGATTTTACAGTACCCTCCATGTTACAAGGACATGAGTTTCTGGATCAGCGATTCATTTACTGAGAACAACCTCTGTGAAGTCGTTAGAGGTATTGCTGGGGATCTTGTGGAGGAGGTATGTTCATTTAATATTTCACTATTATACCCTTTTCCCCTGTAGAAGCTTGGTAAGACAGTGATTCATTAACTGACGTGAAAAATCGTGGTAGTGATAGTAATCTCATGACTTTTAAAGAGCTTGGGACCGGCTATGAAATATATTTAGGGCCATAAGTTCATGTAGGTCAAAAAACAAACCCTTGACGATGACAAAACGTTGACAATCTAGTGTAAAGATGTTCAATGTGGAGTGATTGCCATATAACTATCATCAGGGTTATTCTTTAAATGTTTCTAGGACCACAAAACTTCCATTATGCTTATCCTCAGCAAGACTATGCCGCCATGCTGAGTTTGCAGTAGATTAGCTTGATTTTCATTTCAAATTCAATTTCTAATTTGAGTACCACATGTTTTAGATGACAGATGAATTTGCAGCTTGGTAGTGATGATGATCTTGTAAATGTTGCACATTTTTTGAAGACTTGAGGTTAACTTTTTTAACCGAAGAAAAGCTAAATTTGTCACGTTTGCGTTATTCGATGTTTACTTTTTTCCATTTCTGGTGCCTAATTACTGTGCTTGAGAGAAGAAAAGTGCATGTATGAAGTTAAGCAATGCACTGTCCTTTCACTTTCACTAGATCTTATTCATTATCATTAGAAAGGAGCCAGCCATATGGTAGAAGCTGCTAATAAAAATGTTCTGATGTGTATTTGCCAAAGTATACAAATTTGGAGTGTTGATATTCCTCATCTGCTAGCTGAAGGAAAATTTTCTTCTCGTAATTTATTTAATTCACCACAACATATCAATTTTCTTGCCAGGTGAAATTGATAGACAACTTCACTAACAAGAAGGGAATGACCAGTCACTGTTATAGGATAGCATATCGATCAATGGAGCGTTCACTCACAGATGAGGAGATAAACGACTTGCAGGTAGACCACTAAGGAGATATAGCAAATAAATTTCTTTACTATGTATCTCATCTTTGCTTTTGTTCTAATATAGATGAATTTTTTTTATGATTTTGGTTGGCAGTGGAGGGTACGAGAACAAGTTGAGACCAAGTTGCGCGTTGTTCTTAGATGAATTTCTCTTGTCCCAATTGCCAGCATTGTTAATTTACACTCATCTCATTTTCCAAGTTTCTGGGAGTTGGTTTATAGGATCAAGGAACAAAGGATTTGGTCAAAATGATGGATTTGATATGATGTTCGATGAAGGATTCGTGTTATGTATCCTTGTGCATTCTGTATTTTTTTTAATGATGATCTTACAATATCTACTTTCAGAAAGCTTAAATCCCGAACGTTTTGAGAGAGAGAAAAGAATCTCTTTCTGGGTTTTAGATCATAAAATGGAGTTCAAATATTTCAAACACACATATACAGAAAGAAATTGAAAGTAATATTCATCATGACCTTTAAACATTCTTTTTTTCATCTCTGCTAGGTCATGCTTCTGGAAGCAAATATTTTTACAGCACTACGTTGGTTTCCAGTTCAAAACCCAATGTGAACAATGGCATTTGTAAACAAGATCACAGTGCTAGCAATTAGGCTCAGAGAATTTGATTATTTAAGATTTATTGTGTCACTTTAGTATTTTTGGTGCTCCATATTGCCACTGGAAACAAAAACATTGTGGTAGTTTCTAAGGTTGGGGCTCCAAGGTGTGCTCTATTGTCATAATTTGTTGCAATAGGTTTGAACCATCTCATCCATAGATGGTTTGATATAGTATCAGGGTAATTAGAAGTCTTGAGTTTTTTAAGTCTCCCAGGCACCCTTTATGAAAAGTGTGTGTGGCCGGTATTTGATGAGAAGAAAAGATAATCTGGCCTGCACTTCAGTGGCAAAAGCTGAATACTTTGATCACTTTATTGTTTTCTAGGAGGAGCTATTTTTATTACATGTTATAAGTTGTGTTTCATATTTACAAATTTATGATTGTTAATGAAATTCAGCATGTCGTCCATAAAATTATAAATGTAAAGTTTCACGATTGCATAATATGTTAATAGCGTGTCCAAATGACACACACACACACACAGATATATATATTTTCTTTTTCTTTTTTTGTAAATTTCACGAGTATTAAGTTTCATTTAACGTGATATATTTTACTATAATTTACTCTTTTACGAAATCCACTCTAGAATATCTTTGAAATATCCACTTAGAATATAATTTATCCATGTGTCTTTAGGCCTTTGACGCTTTCATTTCCTGCACTATAGTTATCTGTTTAGTTCTTAAGAACTCGTATTAGAATAAGTTTAAATAGAACTTTTTTTACCGTGTATTTTATTCCTTTCCTAAAGTCATGTAAGCTAGGTAAGTTGCTTCACACTAGTTTTCTGACTGAAATTCCCAAGAAACTACATAGTATTCCATCCATTTAACTAGCTAGATAAGATGAGGTAAGGTTTTTCTATATGTGAGCCTGTGAGATTATTATATTATACATTTCTTAGGTTATATTTGCAATTGAGTGTAATTTAATAAAATAAAATAAATCTTAAGAAGATGGTTTTAACCGCTACAAATGATAGTGAAATTTGGGCAATTTAGTATTGTTTGAGTAGGATCAACCTGGGACAATGGCAGGTGGATCTCAACAAGCTTGATATTAGCCTTCATCAAGCTTCTCTATTTGTTGTTTCGATTGTTTGCCTTTTATCACTAGTTCTTTTCTATTTTGGAAATGTAATTATTTGATCTGAAGAGTTCTTGTCTGATGTCTCGCACACAAGAACTGGACTTGATGAATCCTTAAGCAACAGCCTTTTTCAATAGCAGTAATTGGAAGATGGATAGTCGAGATGAAATATAGGTGCTTTTGTTTATTTCTAGTGGAGAGAATTTTATGTGGGTGCAAGTGTTGATAAAAGAAACTGTACGTTTTCAGTGTTATATAAGTAGTTTTGAAGCACAAAAAAACTTTGGTGTACTTAGCTTGACTGCATGTGATTGTTGTTTGCTTCGAATGAGCTCCTAGAAATCAATGGTGCATTTGTTTGCACTTTATTTATTTATTTTTTGTATCCCATAAATTGGCTGTTTTTGTTTGATCCATGCACCTTTTCTTTCGTCGGATTTCACAGGGTGCAACTTCTCTGAATGGTGCTTTCTTAGTTGATTTGGTAAAACAATATTCTAGGTAGTTGAAAATGAGTTTGATTGGACGACTAAGGCACCATTTACCCTACGGATACTTTAGAAAACCCATTGGAGCTCCTGTGACTACCTTGTTTGATCAACTTATTTGGGGTGATCAGGAACTTTGCTCAACCTGCATTAAAAGAGGAAGAAGGGGAGGAGGAAGTAGAGATAGACCAAAGAAAACTTCCTGCTGATTATAATCCCGAAACTTTTGATCCCACAGAGCATCGCACTCCCCCAACGGATAGAGTATGGAGACTTGTTGATGAAATATCTGGCCTCACACTGGTTGAAACTGCAGAGCTCTCTTCCATTATGATGAAGAAGTTGGGGATGAGAGAGCTGCCAGTTGTCGGGGTCATGAAGCCAGGTGCTGCTGGAGTGGCTTCGGTGGGAATGAAGGCATCATCGACAGCCAAAGAAGAAAAGAAACCGGAAAAGACAGCTTTTGAGCTGAAGATGGGAGTCTTTCGACTCAGCTTCAAAACTCAAGGTAATTAAGGAGATTCGGAGTTTTACTGATTTGGGACTAAAGGAAGCGAAGGACTTGGTGGAGAAGGTGCCTGCCGTGCTTAAGAAGGGGTTGCCAAAAGAAGAAGAAGAAAAAATTATTGAGAAGATGAAAGTAGTTGGGGCTGTTGTCGTTATGGAATGACGTGAAAATAAGTACCGTGATAATTTCATCGTTGACGTCTTTTAAATCTAGTAAATTTTTTCTCAAGGAAAAGCAGCGTTCTTGTACTTCTAATTTCATATCTAGATCTAGACACAGAGATCTCAAAACAGGTATTGAGTCTTCCAGAACTTGGTTTAGGTACTTGTATTTTCTACTTTTTGTTCTCTGTGTAATTGATTATGTGCTTGCAAGCTCAAAATTGCCTTGGAAGTACAGCAACTTTAACACACATTGGTAATGGCATCGAGCTTCAGCAACATTTACACAGCCTAGCACCTATGGGTTTTTACTTTTTATTTTGCCTCCATTTCGGAAATTTGTATATGGTTTATAAAGAGAAATAGTAATGGATCACATGAAATGTCGTGGACAATAATAAATAATGTGTGGTTCGAATTAAAATTTGATTTTGACTGAATTTATTCATTCATAAATTTGTATCGAAACGACTAAAATAACTAATTTGAATAATACACTTTTAAATTAATTAAATCTTTTAAATAAGTAATTAATTCGTTCTAAACTATCAAAACCCCAAACCTATATAAGTAACCTCGATGGAAAACCTCCATCCTCAACAAAACCCGTTCCAGAAGGCTTTAAAGAACAAACCTTCCTCGTCCGCTATTTCTCTCGTCGTCTCCTCTGACTTCTCTTTGAGAAACTCTGAACCACCGAACCTCTAAAAGCCCAAATCGTAACCTTCAAAATCAGAAACTCCCAAATGTTGGTGAAGAAGGAAGTTCAAAGAAGAAAAAAATTTCTTCAAAAGCTTATAAACATAAGGTTGGCCAAGATTGTTCACCATTTAAACTTTTTTTTATGGTTTTTATTCCATTTTATGTTGAAATGTTTAGTTTTTTTGTTTACTATAAGTTGTGTTTTTGTGTTTTATAAGAGCTTTAGATATATTTTGAAATGTTTATTGTCATAAAATCAAGTTGTGATGATTATTTTTTAAAAAAAATAGTGCTGATTTATTCATTTGAGAGCACCTTTTAATTCAGTAAGCTCTTTTAACAATAACAATGGTATGTCATTGAGTTTATTGAGCTTAAGTTGTTAGTCTTTTTAATCAACTAGCAAAACAAGGTCTGATGGCAAATTTTGTATGAGAAAAATAGATTATTAGGAAAACATTTGTGCATTTACCATTAGGAAATAGTTGTTTAGTTCCATCTTAAATAATTTTGGCACAAGATCATTTCAATCACTTTCGGAGTGGTCTCTAATGGCTTTCAACTTAAAAAACCTTTTGAAACATCTAATTGTGTACTCAAATGCTTTGTAGGTAACTCTGAATTTTGAATTACACATGCTAGCTAGCCATATTTTCATTTACATAGCTACTAAGTGAGTATATAGAAAGTAGGATTCTGTTTTCTAACAGTTGAAAGAAATTTTGGTAATAGTCATAAATTAAGCCTTTCTATTTGACCTTTGCAACTCAGTATCTTATACTTCTGTCAATTTTCTATTATGATACAAAGGATATAACCCAACCCAAAAGAAAGTTGGTTTCTAAAAAATGAAAAATTTAGCCTAAATTCATGATGAAATCAAAAAGAATAAGAGATTCAGCCCAGTCCAAAAACTAAATTTAGCTTAACTAACTTCATTCTCAACCCAAACCCAATGTTTAATTATTCAAATACATATTTATTTTATTCACATTCATGATACACAAATGACGCATTATCAAATTAGGTATTTTAATTCACATATATTTAACTAAGTTTAAAGAGTTCACTTATAATCGAATTAGTATATTATATTATAGATAAATTTTATTGATTAAAGTAAAGATTAATGACTTATTTTGACAATATGAGATGCCACATGTTTTATTAAGTTTATAAATAATTAAATTTTTTCTAATTTATTTTTTCATATATTACTTATTTATACCTATGAGTTAAAAATTTATTTATTTCAACCATGAAACGGATCTTATTATCAAAATAAGTAATATAGTCTATATTTAATTTTATTAGTTAAAAATATATTTGTTAGAACTTTGTCACAAGTGTCCAAATATATATTCCAACGCACTTTGTTATGAGCGTCATGAATTTAAACTTTTAAACTAAATCTCATCAGACGTAGAGTATCTTTTATGGTATGAGTTTATTGAAAAAAGAATAAAAAAAATTAAATTTCAGCCCACCCTATTATATCGTTCTGGCTCCGCCCACGATACAACATATACTTCAATTTCAATTGAAATTACTTTTCCAATTTGGTTTATTTTGAGCAAAACATGTTTCATCCATCTTGTTATTTTGGTAAATCAAATATCCTCTTCGAGTGTTGTTATGTTGGGGATGCAACCTCTCTATCAATTTGAGTCACCTGCCCTATTTTCTCTTCAAGTGTGAGTCTTGTGTATTGCCAACTTTTTTAGTATTTCTCACTTTTTAGAATTTCTACCACTCCCAACTAATAGGTTATTGTATTCTTAAAATGAAGTTATGTTGTATGTTTAATTAACAAAATAAAGTATAATAACAAAGAGACAAAGTGTAAAAGAAAATTAAATT